AAACGTTTAGGAGGTTGTTTATGAGGCTTAAATTTTGGCTTAGTTGGAAATCTATGTTCTACCAAATTCTTATCCAAACAAGGCATATCTTCATATTCCCAAGCAAAACTTTATACACTTTTAACAAAGCGATTAATTTACTACTAACCTCCTAACTAAGCGTTTGGTTGACAAATGTTGGGCGATCTTCTCATTCGTCACCAATATTTACTCTACTCAAGAGGTCTTGTGCTTGAGCGTGTCTAGCCTTTGTGATCCTCATTATTTCATCGTCCAAGTTCTTTGTAAGCGTTTTCTCTTCTAAACAATCCACCTTGTTGACTTCTCGGCCAATATTCTGCTCTAATTCGAACACTGCTAATTTATTTCCCAATGCTTTTAATGCCGACTCTTCTTTCATCTTGTCCTTACATTCCTTATTGAAAGCCATTAACCTGAATTTGAAGGCCAAAATGTTGGCCATTTGCCTTTGTTGTTGAGAACTCATTTAAAATTAGTTGATTACCTTTTTGCCAATTTTTGGCTCTTTCAGGGCCACTATATTTGGCCTCATTTGACTGAACATTTCAGTAAGTGCATCCACTGAAAATGGCTCTTCACTCTGTGCGACAATTTGAGTTTCTTTTCCATCTTAAACCACCCTGACAGGTCCATAGTTTCCTTCGTACATGAATATTTCCACCGAGTTTGCTTCTGCGACAAAGGGTCTATGATCTGCTATACCACTTCTGCTTCGCCCTTGTCATTCCAGAAAATAAGGCATTAGTGGAGCGATGAAGGTATGCAACGACTCCCGTGGATCCAATCCCTTCTTAATGGCACATTGTAAGTAGTAGGGCCATCTATTACAAAGAAATTTGTGATCCTAGTAGTTGTCCCCGCCGTTATGTCCAGTGGCATTACCCCTTTAGCTGAAGTTGCTCCTCCGTTAAAGCTTGTGAGAATAAATTCTGTTGGGGATCATATCGCTATCTGTCTTTGCAAATTTTCTCATCATCCTGGACGGGATGGTATTTATGGCTGCTCCATTATCAATGAGCACTTTCGCCACAAGTATACCATTAACTAAGACTTTCACGTACAATAGTCTCAAGTGTTTAGTTAATTTCATGGCTAGTCTCTTGAAGATAACATTTTCAGCCGCATCTATTTTCACTTCCTGTTTGTCTTCCGTTGAATTGTTTCCTTGTGATAACTGAACATGCAATATTTCGCACTGAGCTTCTGCTTCCTAGATTTCTTTTCTACTTTCTTCTAGTGCTTCTACTTCGATTACCTATCCTGTAGGGGGAGGCAATATTCTTGGAGGCGACCCATATTTCTCAGAGCGAGGCACTCTCCTCTTCATTTGGGTGTCTTGTACAACACATAGTAATCAAAAGAATGCCCAAATGGTTCTCCCAACAAGTCTACCTCGAGAACACCTTCTTGATGTAGCTGTTTCAATAACGTATTGCGTGACACTCACATCTTTCTTCTCTCTGCTTCCAAGTCAATTTCTTTTTCGATGTCTGTCGCCCCTCGAGATGTTTGGCCCTCTTCACATTCCAGCACACATGCTTCCCAATCGTTATCATTCATTTCCTCATCTTCGTTCTCTTTGTTTTTGAATTCATTGTTTATCCTCCATTTCTTCCTCTTCTTTCTCTTTGTTTTTGAACTCATTGTATAGTAAATAGTTATTAGCCATGACAAAAGGTAACGTACTGAACTGAATAGTGAGGGGTTGATCTGGATCTTCTTCATCCTTTTTCCCTCGCTCAAACTTCGATCTCCCAGAAGAACTTTCTGACATTTTTTCATTGATTCGCCTGTACCAGTCTCTTTACTATCTTCGAGTACATTTTGATTAGCCACCTCGACCAGTTTAGGCATCTTATGATGTGACAATTCTTGTTGTTACCTCATCATTCGTTCATAATTTTGTTGAAAATGCCTTTGTTAAGTTCTGGTCATCTCATTGAAAGGTATCACATTTCCTGCATTATACTGGAATGAATGTCATACATTTGGTTGGCGTGAACTGCCTCTCAAAAGACGGTCCTCTATAGAATGATGTACCTCACCCTCCAACAGGTTGGGTGTTTGGGACAAAATCAGGATGATGGTAGTGTTGCTATATTCCTGGTTTCTCTGTGTATACACTAATTTCTCCTTTACATCTTACACACAGGACGCTTCCGTCATCTCTAGGCTCTTTCCCTTTAATACTTTCAAAAATACTGGGATGTGTTTCTCTGAGTATACACTAATTTCTCCTTTACATCTAACACACAGGACGCTTCCGTCATCTCTAGGCTCTTTCCCTTTTATACTTTCAAAAATACTGGGATGCGGCCCAGAATCTTCTTCTCCATCGTCTATAATCAATTTGAATCTTAGCAACTTGTTTTTGAAACCGGTCGTCACCATGTTCACCCTAAGTGGTTGTGGGAAAGGATTTTCATCCACTGCCATTTTCTTCTTATCTTCGAATGTGATTTGCCCTGACTTGATAGCATCCTGTAACACTTGACGAAAGACTAAGTAGCTATTAGTCATATGTGACCATGTATTATGCCATTTACAATATTTTTTACCCTTAATTTGCTCAGGGTCTGGCAATTTATGTTTATCGCTCAATTTTATCTGCTTATCCTTATATAATTTGTCAAATATAAGGTTAGCTTTGGTCACATCAAATGAAAACATTCTAGCTTTTTTGTTTTCATCTTTTATAGACTCATTCTTGCCCGATGCTCTGGGTCTGGCCATTATAGGACGCACCTCCCTTAATTAATTCAGCCGAACATACTTCAGTTTGATCGTAATATTCGTCGTTAATAGTATGAACGTCAAAATTTGGGTCTTTATAATAAGTTCCTTTACTAGATTTTTTCATTTGTTCTTCTTCTCTTATCAATCGTTCATACCTAATCACATTCGCGCTAAGTTGGAAAAAATTAGGAAATTCCCTGTCCTGGAATTTCTTTTTCAAATCAAAGCTTAAACAACTTTGACTGATTTTAACGAATTCTTTCTCGGGTAGAGGTACAAAACACTTGCTCCTGGCTATTTTGAACATTTGAAGAAACCTTCTACCCATTCGTTTGGCATTTGACGTAAATTCGCCAAATCAGCCAAATTGTTTCGCGCGGATTATCACAAACAATTAAAAGAAAGGTTTAGACGGTTGTGTAAGGGATAAATCTCTTGAGACAAAGTTCCAAAAAGGGGGTGCTTCATTTATGAAGATTAAAATTGGAAAGAAGCAAAAAGTCTCTAAGGGGCACAAGCACACGAAGTAAATTGAAAGTTTGCAAATAGGAAGTAAATGAATTGAAATTACATATTCTCTATTGAGAGTGTTTGATTCGGGGTCCTTTATTCTATGTTTTCTTTTCCTTTTTATACTCCTTTGCTGATTTCTTCTTGTAAAACTGCTTGGACATTGCTGGCGTTCTATAACTACCCATTTTCTTCGTGATGACTTACTTGTCAAGGAACTGCCGTTAGCAACTGTTATTAGTGCTCTTGTTGTTTAACTACTTGTAACCGAGATTCTTGGATCGTGGGGTGTGATAAGGTTGTTCAATAACTGAACAAAACGCTATATTCATCCAAACCTTGGGAGTCTCGAAAGTTTGGACAAGAGTGAGACCGTCGTTCTGATCGACAATGGGAGACTTTATTCGCTCAAGTCCTCGGCGTTCTGCAGGCTTGGGCGATTATAGTCCTCTATTCGTGGACTATTATTATATTTTACATTGGTCTTATTTGGGCCCATTCCTCAATTTCCCTAACTGGACTCCATTTTTTGGACCACATAATTGGGTCTGACTTAATAATTGGGCTTCATTTTTGTATGTCAATAAGAGCAAAATTTGAATTTGGATCCATCGGGATATAAATAGAGATGCAAAAGTGATTTTAGAGAAATTAATTTACACCCAATTTTGTACAATCATTAAAGATGCTCGAATGTATGGTGTATTTCAAAAAGTTGATGAATTCTAGAACGGAAATAATTGAGTTTAATACTTTATCCAAGTTGATTTTGTGTTTAGGATAGAGGTAGATCATGGCTTTCAAAAATCAACCACCAAATCTTATCATATTTCTCTGATGTGATATATTCGGTGACCAATATAATTTTATCCCACACCAAAATGCTAGAGAACTAACACTCATAGTTGTACCTAAAGTTGATCCGTGAGTGGGTGGGTTTCAACCATATATATTTAACATGTGTCAAATTGAGTTTTTGGATTCATCCTTACATTATTTCAAGGTTTATATGTTAATTATGTAACCAACGTGGTGTTTTTATCTTTAACTATTCAATCGAGTTTTATACGGATCAAATGCTCGTTTGGACTTGTTGGACTTTGAGTAGTGCAAGAAAAACATATATTTTATTTTTAAGCATTATTAATGGATTTTACAACCATAACAGGTGGTGTTGATACCCAGATTTTCTTGACGTGTTGAAATCATTTATCTTTTATAGTCGGGACTTCTTCATGGAGTCTTGTTATGAATATTTCTTTTAAAAATTCAAAGAAAGTTAGGAAAACATTGTTTTATTTACCCTTTATCTAGAAGTGGAGATTCCTTTTACAAATTAACATGTGATGCTTAAGTGCACTAAGAAAATGGATCTACTTTTCTATTTGATGAAGATAATGTTTTCATAGAACTGATTAAAAAAATCAAGCTCTGCTTATCCTTAATAATAAAAACTAAAAGACGTAAGCAAACTGCTGAAGATAATCTTTATTATTGGATGCTAAAATATCTGGTATATGCAATAATTGATTAATATTACTATAGCTGATTTGTCAAACACTGTACTCTTGGTGGAGTTTTGTTGGACGATGGATTTGACAATTATTTTGGACTATATATGGTGGTCGTTATTGTCTTTCGAAAATATTAAATCTTCAATTTGACTTATTAAATTATTTCTTTTTTAATTAGACTGTCCATATGGTACTCACATTGAGCTTTGTCTGGTGAAAATGGGAAGAAAGTGCTCACATTGTAGACACAGAGGTCATAATTCAAGGACTTGTACCATTTCTAGATGGTCTGTTAATGGTGGACTAAGGCTATTTGGAGTACAACTTGAACTATCATCTCCTTCGTCCATTCCCATCAAGAAATGCTTCAGCGTGGATTGCTTGTCGTCATCCCCCTTGCCTGCAGCATCCCCGTCTTCTTCGCTATCTTCCATAGTTTCAATCAACGAAAAATCCGATAAGGCATTTGTTGGTTCTCTCTCTGATGGTCACTTAGCCCAAGTTAAGGAAAGAAGGAAAGGTATGGTATAAAAACCGAAATAATCGTCCCTCTTATCAACCTTCCAACTTTCTGGGATGTTAACAATGTTACACAGTATTAAGGAAGAGAAATAAGTTAAAACCTAGTTCATTGTACTGTTCGGTTCTGTCTAATGCTGCTCACACAACATGCCCTTGATGGCTTTGATTTCCAAGATTGTTAGTTTCTTTCGATAGTTTCTAAATTAATACCTTTCTATCACATAATCACACCCTTTGATCCTCTCTTCCAACTCTTATGCAAAATTTAATGGCTCTGATAATGTGATGATTTGTACGACGGTTAAATGCTAGGAATTCCATGGACTGAAGAAGAACACCGAATGTTCCTAATTGGGCTTGAGAAGCTAGGAAAAGGAGATTGGAGGGGAATTTCAAGAAACTTTGTAACTACAAGAACCCCAACACAAGTTGCCAGTCATGCTCAAAAGTATTTTCTCCGGCAAGCCAGTTTGTGTAAGAAGAGACGGTCCAGCCTTTTCGACATGGTATATATATATACACCATATTATTTATTAACTTCACATGTACATTAAACGAACATGTTCGGTACTTAGCTCTTGTTTGAGCCCCATTTTTTGCCCATAATGCATTTTGATGTAGTATGTTGATGGAGAACATGTAGTTAAAAAATAAGGAATAGTTTTGGTATTGTATTTAATACTATTTTATTGAATAATGTATGACTGAAAATAAGAGAGAAAAATGTATTTTGAAAATAATATGGAGCAAACAAGGGTTAGTACTATATAATATTATACAATTTCTCCTTATCTTGATGAGCATATTAAACATGCATGGATGTTTATTTAAAGATTGTTTTTTGACATGAACAGGTTAGTGATGCTAATTCAAGGACAAATTCGAATCAGGAAGTTGGACAAGAAGATGGTATTTGTCCCCTGATTGACCTGAATTCATTTGGTCAAGACAACAAGTGGAATGATCAAGAATGTGAAAATTGTCGAATAGCTTCCAACCTGAATTCGAGCAGCTCCCTTTGTGCATATGGATCTCTCAACTCTTCTTCCATGGAAACAAGATATAGTTCTGCAAATGTTGTAGCTCCTGATTTAGATTTGACTCTCTCAGCTCCAAAAACAGTGGAAAAAAATGAATCCTCTCCTATTAGTGTTATTTGACTTTCTTATTAAATAAATTACAGGTATCTTTCTTTGTAATCAAATGACCTATACTAAAATAATTTGTTGGATGCAGAAATTAATGGAGTATTGTCATCTCTCTCAAGATGATGACGATCCTTTTTTCTTTCTTTTATGTTTGTATAATGTGATGGCGAAAGATGATATAAAATTGAGATAATTAGAATAGATTCTTACTTCTATTCCAAACACTGAAAAATACTTTCATTTTTTCAGACCTACATCCAATTATTTTTTATTTACATTGTATAAATATTTCAAAAATCTAATCAAAATTAACACAATTTATTAGGTTTGCCCCACCATTCAAAACACCACCAATAAGAAAACAATCAAGCTCTTTATTTCTATTCAAAGATAGAAAGATTTGATTCAAAAAATCGTTTCTACAGTATGTGCTAAAGAAAAGTTATGAAAGCAGAAAATACACCCTTCTCATAAGGTAAGTTCGTGTAGCAAATGAGTCCAGATCAGAACATAAACCCTCTTACTCAACTAGGACTACATATCTAATATCCATATGCTTCTCCAATTCATCCAGTTCAAAGAAATCGAATTTTTCATTAATAATGAAAAAATTAATAACAAAAACATGCTCCAAACATATTCTCCTAACACACCCACAAGCATTAAGAAGGGAGTATTTTTATTTCTCGTTAATTCTTGACGTTCAAACGAATGCCAAGCATCCATTTTTTGAATGAAAAATAATACAATTTACAAAAGCACGTCTAAAATACATAAAAAAATTAAAAAAAATCATTTAATTACACTTCTAATTTGATTTTCAATTTAAGATTTTTTAGATAAATGTTCTACATAACCTTTAATCTAAATAAAATTTTACCTAGAAATATCACTATAACCTTGTTCTTTTGTTTATCACCCCTTTGTTTCCCATCTGTGACCAGACAACTCTTATAGCGATTCAGCCATAAATCAGCAATAATTTCAATTCCTCTTTTGAGAGATAATGACCCATGGAGCAATTAGAATGCTAAATATATACCATTCATTATTTCATATGAGACAAAGGTAGAACAAAACAAAATACCTTTTACTTTTCCAATATATTATGAAATTTTTATTTCTCTTGTCGATAGTATCAAAAGGACGAGATAGAGATATCTTATCTCTCATTATATAATAATATTTCTGTTGATGATAGAAATCGAATCAACAAATTTCTCTCACATAGCCAAGATTTTCACATCCTAAATTTACTAATTTTGATGCTCAAACCGGAGAAAGAGGAGAAATGACTATTTAAGATGGAGGAATTTGATTTTGCATGCCTTTTATTTATAGATTTTACTCCGGGGTTTAGGGACATTTAGTCGTTTAGAACAAATGACATATGGCGGCTTCTTATTGGCTAACTTGTAACTAATTCTATTAGAGTATCAAGTTTTATTCAATGGCTTACGTGTCTTAATAACAGCTTTTGGGCAACCCAGATAGGGATAAGGTTTGTCCATTGATCGAGCCTATTAAACTCTTGTCCCCCCCCCCCCTCCCCTCCCCTCCCCTCCCTAGCATATCAATTAAGCTTCGTAGGCAGAGGGAATTGTTCATGGAAGATATTTCTTGATTTTCAAGATAGGCGCCGCATTATGCATCCTCTAATGGGCATGGTTATAATTTTCTAGGCTTGTTTTTATTGGATTAAGAGTACAATCGTAAATTTATTGTGGTGTATCTATTTGTTAGGTTTTGAATGTAATTACCAAATCTGTGAACAAAAAGGACTAAGTTTAATGTATTGTAAAAGTCAAGGAGCAAGTTATAAATATTATAAATTGAGTTGTATTAGGTCTAGATTTCCAGAATGGAAAAAATGAAAAATGGCACTGCAATTTAGCTAGACTGTCGCCATGGCTTTACTCGAGCGGCAGAAAAAGAAATATTGTCGCAACCTGTCGCCTGGCCTTCGCTCGAGCGACACACTGTGGCTCGCCTATCGCCTAGCTTTCGCTTGAACAACAGGGTCATCCGAAAAATTTTAATTCACATTTTAAGGCTTTCTATCCAATCCATTCATTCCTTAACCAACAAAATAAATACCAGATAGCCTCTGAACGGTTATTCTTGAGGTTGATCATTGAGAAGATTCTAACTGCTTCATATTCTCTCCATCCATAGCTTTCAACCTTCATTGTTTGATTTGTTTAGGCATTGAAAACATCAAACCTATAATTCAAATACCAAACTGCTTACTTCCTACACATCTATCAGAGTGCTGAAGATCAATGGAAGGTGACTGGAGTTCCAGTTGTTGGAGAACAAGAATTTCTTCGTTGATCTACAGGAGATAGACAAATTCATAAAATCGAGAGTTGGTGCAGGAGCATGCAATCCAGGAGGGTTTTAAAAACTCTACCTGGGAGTTGGTGCAGGAGCACGCAATTCAAGAGAGCTGTGGGAATTGCAGTCAGGATGTCAGAAAATACTAGTGGTAGTATAGTCTGGAGGATTGTAAGTTTTAATTTGTTTATAGTGGATTGTTGACTGGAGAAGTGCCTGAAGTTTTTACCCAATTGAGGTCTCTCCGTAAGTTCGTTGTTACTGTTTTCATATAACTGTGATAATTCAACATAGGAAAATTGGACTGTTTGATTAATCATCTAAAAATAATTAAAAGTGACTTTGTTTCTATTTAATTATTAATTTTTAATTCTGTATAATCACCTATTTATCCTCATCTAGGTGTAATTTGGGTCGAACTTCGTAATTTCAATTGGTATCAGAGCCACATTTCGATTCCTAACCCATAAATTAATCTAGATGAGTTAGTCTCTATCCGTGGCTCCGTTTTTTGATTGAAGAAACTATGCTTACTGAAAAGTTCGAATGAGAACATTGCTTAAAGCATTGTATGAGTGTATTTGGATCAGTTACAAAATGGTTGGACTAAACCTTCATCTACTGTTGCTGGTGTTGTTACACCAATTGATATTTCTCTTTAGACTAAAGATCAAGTTGCTGATTGCAACTGGAATAGTAAAGGGCTTTGTGCACTATTTATGGCTGTGTCTGCAAAGGAGTTTATGAGAGTGTCGATGTGTGAAACTCCTAAAGAGGTTTGAGATATCTTAGAGGCCACACACAAGGGTACCAAGACTGTTAAGAACTCCAAATTGCAAATGTTAATATCTAGGTTTGAAGAAATTAGAATGAAGGACAATGAATCATTCGATGAATTCTATGCGAAACTTAATGATATAATAAACTTGAGTTTCAACATAGGTGAGAAGATCCCTGAGTCTAAGCCCCGTTTGAGCCCCATTAAATTAAATTCCATTACATTAATTTTTTCTCTCTCTTCATTTCAACCACACATTCATCAAATAAAATAATATTACACACAAATCTAAAACTTTTCAACCACAGATTCCCCCATCAATCACTATTCTAAAAATTTTCAA